TGCTTTATGTTGTAAATTGTTTGTCCTTCCCCCACCCCTTTTGAACTGTGAGCCGCCCTGAGTCCCCCCAGGGAAAAGGGCGGCATACAAATAAATAAAGTGAACTGAACTTTTTTTATTGAAGACCACATTTTCATAGAAATTATATTTCATGATTGACTTTCTTATTTTATTATTATTGCTTGAAATTGATTTAACTTTTGCATTTGTTGAATTTTCTTATAGCAAGTTGTCCCATAGTGAATTGGCTGCAGTGAGCTGGCCACGGCAACTTGTCAAACTCCAAAACATCCTGTGTGATAGAAGGTGGGTAGAAAGGAAAACAAGACAGATTATTCACAAAGCTCCCTTTCCAGTTGAAAAACTTTGAGGAATAGTGGCTTTATTTTTCTGGTTTAAAACCACAGGCTTATTATTTGTCACTTATCTGTACTTTGTGCTCTCAAATTCATTTTGGTAGAGAAATATATTGCTGGGACCTGAGTGAAAAGTCTTTTTCTATATATGTCTGTCTGTCTCTCTATCATCCAGCCAGCAATCCACTTAAATCAGTGGTCAGACCTGGACTTTCAAGAGTATGCAAATTCTTCAATAGGCATCAAGATTGTGAGGAGCAATAGAGAAATTAGAATATGCGACATTAATTGAAACATAAAATAGTAAATAGAGTACACATAAATACCAAATGACAGCTTTATCTGCCCACCCCACCATCCCTTGAGGTAGGAAAATCTGCCCCAAATAGGAATGCATTAAGATATCAAAAAAACAAAACACCATGCAAAATGATGCATTATGTTTCTTTGACTATTTCTGGACTGTTATTCTTCCATTCCAATTCTCTCCATAGAAAACAGGCATTAATCTTTGTCAGGGGGCCCAATTAGGCAATGTCACAGCAACAGCTTGTGACAATGGATTCTGAAAATAATGCCACCTCAAGAAAAATGGAGAGTCCACAAACAGATTTATCTCTCCTTTTCATATCTTCAAATCAAGCAGCAGAGAACACACGTGTACACACACACACACACACACACACACACACACACACACAGAATGTTCAAAAGGATGTGGTTCATGTAAATAAATAGTGTAGAGTTGCTCATAGTTATGTATATAGTAGTATTACCACTGTTTTGTGTGTCTTTTTTGGTAAGAAAATGAGATGTGACAATGCAGCAAAGGAGAATATGAAGTTAGTGAAATTTACATTGGCTCCATGATCTATCTAAGACAGTAATTTGCTTAGTGATATTTATCTGCAAAACTTGGGGTTATTGATTACTTATTTTTGGTCAGTTCTGGTAGCCAGGTCAAATCCCTGACTATCTGGAATTCAAATCAAGATCAAAACAAGAATACCACTGGGGTTGAGGTGTGTGGGAGGTACAGAAATTCAAGACAGTAGTCATAATTAAAGCCCCACATGATTTTTACAGTTTATGCGTAATGTACATAATAAAGGGGTGAGGTTTAAGTCATGCAATCAAGGCTGACAATTTTTAAATGCCCTGAGACACTGCTGGATCTGAACATGTTTATCTGTGTTATCCCTCAATAATTAGCAACATTGAGCTATCTCCTATGCTAATTAGCTATGTTCACTGAGAATTTTTTCCCCCCATCTCAATTTACTATTTCCAAAGAAATCACTGGAGAACCCTAGATTCTACTTTGAAAATCAAAATGAACCCCACATGACATTTTGTAAAAACTCTTACATTACTACTAGTTTCATGTGCTCTAGAATCTGGTGGCACAGTGGTTAGAAAGCAGTACTGCAGGCTACTTCTGCTGCCTGCCAGCTGCCTGCAGTTTGGCATTTTGAGTCTCACTGGCTCAAGTGATGACTCAGCCTTACATCCTTCCGAGGACAGTAAAATGATGAGCCAGATTGTTGGGGGAAATATGCTGACTCCACTTAGAGAGGGCTTTAAAACACTGTGAAGCGATATATAAGTGCTATTGCTCTAAACATCATATCCCAAAGATCCTTTGTTGCTACCATCATTTGACAGGAACATAGATAACTATGGAGATGTCTTCAATCCTCAGTATATCTAAATTAATGGTGGAATTCTTATGATTGCAGGTAATGGCATTAAAACTGGGATTCTCTGCATCCAACGTAGATACTTTATCTACATAAAAGATCATCCTTTTTATATTTTTCCATTCATCCAACCCAGTGTTTCTCAACCTTGGCAATATGAAGATGTCTGGACTCCCAGAATTCCCATTTTGGGAATTGAATCCACACTTCTTCTAGTTGTCAAGGCTGAGGAACACTAATCCAACTGGATAAGTTTTAGATTTGTATCCTTAATTGATCCTTGTGGTTTATCCAATTCCAAAATAGTATTCTATGCATTTGCCCTTTAAATCACTTTTTTTTTGCTTTTTACAACTCTGTGATCCCCTAATTCAGGGTAGAGTTCAGACTACTGAATGAAGCTGAACATTTACTGGCTGGATGCCCTTCCTGATACCAACATGGAGTTCACAGTCTGCCCTGAGAGATAAACATTTGTTGCTACCTAGGATTGAACTCTCAACTCTCTGAGTGGGAGGTGACCATCTTCACCACTAGGCCACCATGCCACTTGTCCTTTAAAGCAGAATAATAATAGCAATAGCAATAGCAATAGCAGTTAGACTTATATACCGCTTCATAGGGCTTTCAGCCCTCTCTAAGCGGTTTACAGACTCAGCATCATATTGCCCCCAACAATCCGGGTCCTCATTTTACCCACCTCGGAAGGATGGAAGGCTGAGTCAACCCCGAGCCGCTGAGATTTGAACAGCCGAACTGCAGAACTGCAGTCAGCTGAAGTAGCCTGCAGTGCTGCATTTAACCATTGCGCCACCTCG